TGTTAGCCAGGATGGTCTCGAACTCCTGACCTCGTGATCCGCCCGTCTCGGCCTCCCAAAGTGCTGGGATTACAGGCTTGAGCCACCGCGCCCGGCCGTGCATGCTCTTTTTGACAGTAATACAAACTGCATGTTGAGGTCTGACAAATTCAGGTGCTAAATAATTTGTTTCTCTAATGGACTTAGATTGTTTTTGCTATCAGGTTTTATAAGAGGGCTTTTCGTGTAGCCTCTGAAGTTACTCTACTTTAGTATATTTCTATGTGTGGAGAGGTGGGGCAGAAATAGAAAATGTCACATGTTCCCCAGTATTTTAAGGAAAGAAAAGATAACTCAACTTTGCCTCACTAATTTGATTTCAGACAAGTGGATTTTATAGGTAATAGGTTCAATTCTCTATTTAATTTCATTTCCAGAGGCACTGTAAAATGACACAAACCTTTTCCCTACTCACTGTTTTTGGAACAAGACAACGTATCTCCTGGTGAATGCAGTCATATGTGATATGGCTCAATGGCTGGACTGCCTGCCTTGTAAATAACTGATGGCACTCTTAATAAATGGGAAAATGTTTTTCCTTAGGTTTCATCCACATTTTATAGCTACCACAGCAAACACACTGAGCATTTCAAAATAGCACTTTGCCTTTTTCCTGAATGTGTGCTCCGTGTCATCAAGTTCATCTTACTGGAAAGTTTACGTGGTGAAATTAGATGGAACATACTTTGATAATGCATTGCATGTCAGAGTTACAAATATTAACTGGATTTAATATTTGGCCAAGATAGTCTTCACAAGTGCATTTGGAAACATTTGTCAAATACTGAACTTAGATTTCTGGCCTGTCCTGGGAGACATCTAGGAGGAAAGCATCTTAGTTGCTCACCTGTACAGTCTGAGTGCTAATAAAATGGAATGTCGTGGGTGCTGGGTGGTTTATAATGTGTTGCCTGTGGGTGGAGAAGTAACTCAGGGATCTTGGCCTTTTCACTCTTTACAGAAACTGCACCAAGGCCAAGTCATCACATTATATGGGCATTGTTTGCGGGGGAGTTGGGGTGGGTTGTAGGATGGGAGCCTTGATGTTGAGGGGTGGGCAGTGATGCTGCCTCCACCAGCCATCAGCCAACCACAACTAGATTGTCCATCCTCTTTGTCTGCCCTTTGCTTTGGGACTGGGTAGGAGGGAGAGGGAAAACTGTAAGAGCATTTCAAAGAAGGAGGGAAGTTAATACCTTGAAAGGAGAACTGATGTAGAAGCGTGCCATTGTCCTTACCTCAATCTGGAATGGGAGAGATTCCCACCTGTCAGATCAGGAAGGATAATGAGCTTTGAAAAGCACTGAGAGGCTGGGCGTGGTGGCTCACACCTGTAACCCCAGCACTTTGGGAGGCCAAAATGGGAAGATCACTGGAGCCCAGGAGTTCAAGAGCAGCCTGGGCAACATGGAGAAATCCCATCTCTAAAAAAAATGAAAAAATTAGCCCAGTGTGGTGGTGGGTGCCTGTAATCCCAGATACCCAGGAGGCTGATGTGGGAGGATCACCTGAGCCCAGGAGGTTGAGGCTGCAATGAGCGATGATCACACCACTGCACTCTAGCATGGGCAACAGAGTGAGATCCTACCTAAGAAAAGAAAAAAAAAAAAAAAAAGAAAAGCATTGGGAAAGGAGGAGGGTGTGGTTTAAAAAGCAATAAGAAATCTTAGCAAGAGTGGAGGGTGGTAGGCAGAAGGAATGGTGTTAACGAAGGCAGAGGGAAGGATACAGAGGAGAGAGGGGAGGAAACACAAGGAGGATGTGGGCCGTCTGGTCAGACCACTTTGGTGCCACAGTGGTGACCAAAGTAAAGAGGCGGAAGAAGCTGCTTCCATCATTGATCTGCATTGTAAGCTCAGCAACACCAGCCCACTAGAAATTCGTGTGCCTGTAGCAGGAACTTGACTAAACACTCTTGTCACTGAGGCATTTCCATATTTTCAGCTTATTTCAAATTGTTGCCAGCCCAGTATAATGGTCTTCAGAGCCTTCCTGAGTAAATAGTGGCTTCAGGTCTCCAGCTTTGCATTGTCTACTTTTGAGCTCTCATGAAAAGTAAGATGAAAAGTTGAAATTGAGACAGCATATTCTAAACTAGCTGAGCCTTTGAAGAATTCTTATTAGAAAAAATGAAATTACTTGCATGAAGTGTGATGGTGTGTTAATACTTACCTAGTTACTTAGTATGAGAATGATTTGAATTGTTAAAATAAACAATAGGAAAACAGGAATTGTTATTTCAACAAGAGAATTTTAAATGTGTGTCATTTGAGTATGTTTATCTTTTAACCTCAGCACTCTACACCCCCAAGTGCATATGGGTCAGTCAAAGCCTACACCAACTTTGATGCTGAGCGGGATGCTTTGAACATTGAAACAGCCATCAAGACCAAAGGTAGGTGATACATTTGTCCTCCTCTTGTCAGGGTCTTACTGAGACATTTTTGGTTGTCTCTTTATTCTCCCTCAAATTGCCATACATTGGTAATTTGAAATTGTCATTGAGCTTTAATGGAGTGAATCCAGACCTGGCTCAACCCATGCCTCCTTTCCTTCCTTCCCTCCTTCCTTTCTTTCTTTCTTTTTCCTTCTCTCCTTCCCTCCTTTCTCCCTTTCTTCCTTCTCTCCTTCTTTCTCTTTCTCCCTCCTTCCTGCCCTTCCTCCCTCCCTCCCTCCCTTCCCTCCCCTTCTTTCTTTCCTCCCTCCCTTCCTTTCTTTCCTCCCCTACCCCCCACTTTCTTCTCTTTGGCGAGATCTACAACATGAGATAGTATTTAAACCAAGTAGTGGTTAAAGGAAATCAGTCTGGGAGCCAGATCTGGTCCTAGGGGTATGCGTTTGGGTGCAGCTCTTCACTTTGAGGCTTCAGTCCCTCTTCTGCAAGGAAAAAGTTGGTCGTGGTGGTCCCTAAGGGCACTTCTTGTTCCAAGTTCCCTTGAATTTAATTACATTTGCTGGAAAAATGCTGGGAAAATCTTACTGCATTGCTCTTAGATTGATCTAGAGAGTGAAAAATTCAGACTTTTTTTTAAATCCCTGTAAGTTCTGCTGCTCCTTAGGCCTGGAGCTGGAATTAGAAGAGCTGTCAGAATGAGTATATTTCCTCAAGTTCTAGGATGAGTAAGAGAAGACCAGGAGGCATAAAAACCCTCCTCTTGAAATAAAACAAAGTGCCAATGGGTTAGGGTTGAGGAAGAGCTTCTTATGGTCATTATATTGTTTTCTGGGTCTACAAAATAGGATGTTCAGACTTTCTGGGCTTATATTAATGAAGCAATCCTTGGGGTTGCCCCATCCCCTGAAAAATATTGCAGTTCTTGTGGTGACTTTTGTGATTCTCCACTTTTCCCCCCTTGGATAAAGCACTTCCTTTCACCATGAGGCCAGATTGGGATACAGACATGACCCAGCACAATTAGAGCTGCTGCTGGTTCATACCCCGGGTAAAGAGCCATGTCACATTTTTCTCTTCTATGTACAGCGTTTTAGCTTACTGACACACTTAGACAGTTCACAAATGGTTCATTGAAAGACTGAGAAACCTCAACCAGGATGACCTGGGAACCTGTAACTAGGATGATGTCCTGGTTTATGCCGGCGTATTTATTAATAGTGCACCTTGCACTCTCAGAACTGTCTTATTTTGGAGGATACATGGTATGGTCACCTTTCCTAAAACCGTGTAGAATCTGGTAACCTTGTTTCCAGAGACAGGAAGGAGAGTAGAAAAATCCATTTCACCTTCTATGGTTCTAACAAGATGTGAGGATTTATTTGCATCATCTGCCTCAGGGAAGCCTTATGTTCTGTGTGGTTGCTGTGGACCACCCCCAGATGACTGTCTGCACAGCTGAGGGCAGAATAATGAAGCATCCAAATTAGACTTTTAACAAAAAAAAAATCTCTTTTTTTTTTTTTTTTTTTTTTTTTTTTTGAGATGGAGTTTCGTTCTTGTTGCCTAGGCTGGAGTGCAATGGCGTGATCTCGGCTCACCGCAACCTCTGCCTCTTGGATTCAAGCAATTCTCCTGCTTCAGCCTCCCTAGTAGCGGGGATTACAGGCACACATCACCATGCCCAGCTAATTTTGTGTTTTTAGTAGAGACAGGGTTTCTCCATGTTGGTCAGCCTGGTCTCAAACTCCTGACCTCAGGTGATCCGCCTGCCTCCGCCGCCCAACGTGTTGGGATTATAGGTGGAGCCATCTCGCCCAGCCCAATCTTTTTTTTTTTTTTTTTTTGGTGCTTTTAAATGACCATTCTTGCCAAAAGTTACTAATCAGAAAATTAAACTACAATCTGCAGGGCTTGTTTCACTACAGTCAGTTCCAGTCAGTGGAGCATAGTGGATGAGAACGTGTGTGAGCCCAGGTTCAAATGCTGGCTCCACAGCTCACTCATTAGCCATCTGACTTGGAAAACACGGAACTGATAAGACTGAGTTTCCTTGCCTATAAAGGGGCGCTAATCAAAGTTCCCACCTCACGGGATTGTTGTGAAGTATGAAGCATTTAGCACGATGCCTGGCATATAGATGGTACTCAAAATATGTTACCTTAAAACACACACACACATGCACACACATGCACATCCACCTCCTTGTGGTCTGCTTTCCTAAAACCCATGCTACTTCACTATTTAGATGTGCCTAGATTCATGTGGTTTCCCAACATGCCATTGCAGCAACCCTAAGTTTAACAGTTAACTCATCTAGCAAAGATGGTGCTTTTCCCAAGCATGGGACAAAGACTTCTTTTGTCCCTGCGTGAGAAAGCACTTAGTGCACTGGAATGTAAAGATTGCGCAAATGAACTCTGGTCACAGCTGAAACTCTCATGGTAATAAAAATACCTTCAGGCCCTTTTGGAGTTAGTAGAAAAATACTCTAGTTTTTAGACAGAAACGTCTGGAGGGCTAAGGCTTAGATTCCAACATTCCAGTTTGATCAAAAGCAGCTGACGTTATCATTATCATCATTGCAACTATTTATGAAATGTTCATTGTGGGCAGATATTGCACCAAGCACTTCAGGAACATTTATCTTAGGTGAACTTCAAAGTAACCTCTGATGTAGTATTCTGTCATCCCCAGTTTTTGGGTGATTTAAGTCAGAATTAGTATGCCTGAGGTCTTTTGGCCTTGGATCAAACTGGGATTTGAACACAGCTCTGTCCACCCCTAGGCCTGTGTTCTTAGGCACCATGATGTAGCACCCACCTGTGAGGAGTGGATTTTTTTCATTGCCTTGAATTATTTTCAGATATGAAAAACATTGTGTATCTGTGGTCTTACTGACTTTCTATTAAGTCTCATATTTGTGGTCTACCTTTAGATTCCCCATCTTCCTTTTTTTTTCCCCCCCAGACTTAATGTCCAGTGAGTTTCACTTAGGACCACTTTTTATTTATTTTATTTTTATTCATTTATTTTTTTGAGACAGAGTCTCACCCTGTCACCTGGGCTGGAGTGCAGTGGTGTGATCTTGGCTCACTGCAACCTCTGCCTCCCGGGTTCAAGCAGTTCTCTGCCTCAGCCTCCCGAGTAGCTGGGATTACAGGTATGCACCACCACGCCAGGCTAATTTTTGTATTTTTAGTAGAGAGGGGGTTTCACTGTCTTGGCCAGGCTGGTCTGGAACTCCTGACCTTGTGATCCACCCGCCTTGGCCTCCCAAAGTGCTGGGATTACAGATGTGAGCCACTGCTCCTGGCCTATTTATTTGTTTACATATTTTTTTTTTTTTAAAGACAGAGTCTTACTTTGTCACCAGGCTGGAGTGCAGTGGCACAATGTCAGCTCACTGCATCCTCTGCTTCCCCGGTTCAAGCTACTCTCGTGCCTCAGCCTCCCAATTAGCTGGGAGTATAGGCATGTGCCTCCATGCCCAGCTAATTTTTGTATTTTTAGTAGAGACAGGGTTTTGCCATCTTGGCCAGGCTGATCTCAAACTCCTGGCCTCAAGTGATCCACCGACCTCAGCCTCCCAAAGTGCTGGGATTACAGGCGTGAGACACCGCACCCGGCCTACTTAACTTATTTTTGATGCTTAATGATTTTAGAGAGTAACTAGGTTTTGCAAGTCCATTGGTCCTTTAAAATAATTTCTAGATAGTTGGCATTGTTAAAACCCTAAATCCTTTTAGGAAACTATTGCGAAGAAAGAATATGACATTCATAAGAGCTCAGTGTTGATATTAGCATTGGTTATGATAGTGAAAAACTAGATACATCTTTTATTTGGGAAGTATGTCTTGAGGTATACTTCCCTATAATCATTAAGTAAATGATTAAAACTGTAGTACATAAATAATGTGTAACTCCCTGTATTACATAGAATGTCTGCAGAACGTAGATAGGAAAAATAAAGTTTGTCAATAATTTTCAACATCTTTGTTGAGATACAGTTCATCTGCCATATGATTTGCCTATATAAAGTGTACATTTCAGTGTTTTTAGTAGTGTATTTGCAGAGTTGTGCAGCCATCACCACAGTAACTTCCCTAACACTCATTTTAACATCCATTCACCTTAAATGTGTCAGTTGCATCAAGAAATGGAAATGGAATAGTATATGCTATGTGATCACAACCACAACGATTTTTTTTCTTTTTTTTTCTTTTTGAGGTGGAGTCTTACTCTGTCACCCAGGCTGGAGTGCAGTGGCACGATCTTGACTCACTGCAACCTCTGCCTCCTGACAGAACCCTCCTGGGTTCAACCAATTCTCCTGTTTCAGCCTCTTGAGTAGCTGGGACCACAGGCGTGCACCATCACACCTGGCTGATTTTTGTATTTTAGTAGAGAGAGGGTTTCACCATGTTGGCCAGGCTCCTCTCGAACTCCTGACCTCATGTGATCCTCCTGCCTTGGCCTCCCACGGTGCTGGGATTACAGGTGTGAGCCACCGTGCCTGGCCTATGATTTCTTTTAATCAAAAAAGAAAAAGGGCATTAGCGATGGAAACAGATGTACCTCACTTCATGGTGCTTCCTTTACTGCACTTTGTAGATATTGTAGTTTTTACAAATTGAAGGTTTGTGACAATGCTATTCACTTTATGTATCTGTGCCAGCATTTTTTAGAAATAAAAGTATTTTTTAAATTTAGGTATGTATTGTTTTTACACATAATGCTATTACATAATATAATATAATATAATCACACTTTTGTATGCATTGGGAAACCAAAAAATTTGTGTGACTTACATTGTTGCTATATTTGCTTTATTGTGATGATCTGGATCCGAACCAGTAGTATCTCTGAGGTATGCCTGTATATGGAATTGTGGGCAATTGATCCTTTTCCTTTCTTGCGCTTTCAGTATATTCTGTATTTCTGTATTTTGCAAATTTTCTATGATGACCTGTATTACTTTCATAGTGGAAGGCAGTAAACTT